CTCCTTTAACCCCCCGGTTCACACCGCTGCCGATTTTCTCCGTGCAAATCTGTAATCTTCAGCTTCAATCTTCCACTTTTATTTGCTTGTCTTATTTTCATAGAACTAGAGAAACATCTCAAGCCACAATCAATCCAATTCTTCACTGATTGTAATGTAAGCTCTAATCACACAAGTCAAAACTAGCAATTAGATTCAAGCGCAAACAAACTAACTGGCTATTCATCTTTCTTCTCTGAACTTATCGGCAAACTCAACCCAAAAAATGATCAAATTAAAAAAAAAAAAAGAGAGAGAGAATATTGCATACAAATTAACTGGACGCAACACTTTGCTAATTCGAATTTTTAATTTGAGTTGAGATATGATTTTATGTAGATCTTTTATTATAGTAAAAAAATTAAATGTGACTATTTTTTAAAATTTTTTACTATAACAAAACTTAAATTCTAAATTCGAATCGATAAAATAAATAACGCCTAAGACTACTCAGTTTTCTACTCTGGCATTTTTTGCAATTTCACCGATTTTTGTAGAGAAAATCTAGGGATTTTGAATTTTGGGATTTGTTGGTGCAAGACCATGCGATTCCAACTCTCCAAAACACAATTTTGTCTATAGGATCTTCGTCGTCGCCGTCCTCATTGGCATCGTTGTAGCTCTCATCTTTCTCCAGAAAGTCGACGACACCATGCCGATTTGCTTTAAAAGCTCGTGCCCTCCGTGTAGCTCCCAACGAGCAACCCAACTTTGGCGGCGGCAACAAAAACACCTACCAGTCCAACCCCCTTCCGGCGACGCTAAGGAAGCACTCACCCAACCTCTTCATTACAATCCCATGGCGGCCACCAATCAAGACGAGCCTTTTTTCAATTAAAAATTAATTTTTTTATCCAATTTGTATTATATGCGGAAGGTTCTACTTTTGTTTGGTGATCAATCACTCTTTCTAACCATCAGATTCGAATAAGAAGGCTTAAAATGTGTACCCTGCCAGTAGGGCAGAAAACAACACCCTACCATAGACATTCCCAATAAAAAATAAATAGAAGTCAATCGGTAGCCGGTTACAAAAATTTCCAATTGCCCTTTGATGCCCTCACTTCCATATTATCGTCAGATCAAATTTAATAGATTTAGACCTAGTTTAGTTTACTGATTTAAATTTTTAATTTGAGTTGAAATATAATTTTACGTGAAAATTTTTAACTGTAACAGAAAAAATTAAAAATATTTTTTTATAAACTGTAATAAAATTAAAATTAAAAACTTGAGTCAATAAAATAAATTAAACTTTACTTTGCTACATTAACTGCATCTGCAGCTTAGAACGGTCTGTGAATTAGTGGAGTAACAACTCCTGTTGGAATAATAATAATAATAATAATAATTTTTTGTCATGAGCATTTCTCAAGTCAGGAACATTAATAAGAGGTTTATTTTAAGAGTTCGTCCTTAATTTTAAATTATAATTTTTAATTTTTTATAGTATTTTTTTCTCAAAAAATTTAAATTTTAAAAATTAAAATCATAAATCATTTCATTTTAGAAGTAATTTGACTCACGTGCCGTCCAAGCAAAGCTGCACGCCAACCTAACTTGTACTTTGATTTTTTCTTTTCTTTTTTTAATTAAATGTACTTCGATTTTGTTAAAAAGGAAAAAGTATGGAGAAAAAAAAGACCTGCTTCCTAGAAATATTTCGCTCAAAAAATTTTCGAAAAGAGAAGGAAAAGGCAGCAAACGAAGGTCAGTAGTCAGTATAAAAATGATTTCTGCTTCCAGCCAAAAAGGAAAAGGAGAATGATGAATGCCCGGCAATGTGGCTGGAAAATCATCCTGAATTTAGGATCTCTTTTGCTATCATCATGTGTCTGTGATGTAAGGAAAATAGCTTGTGGGTTAATAATGCCATATGTTCGGGCAAATGATTCTGCATGCGTCCAGCTGTCCATAGTACATCCAAATGCTACGCCCCAAAAGACCTAGGCAGTTTCATTTATACGCTAAGTTTAGACAGGAAAACAATCAATGAGATTTTCCGAACAGGCTCTGAATCCTCTAAAATTGATTGGGTTGACTATGTTGGTACTTTCTCTTAAAAGAGTTTTGTCAACATCTGGCCGACTTTTATGAAAACAAGCTCCAAAATGAAAACATAAATATCTTTGTGTATTCAACTGAGGGCGGGGACTGATTCAAAACAGACTTTATGGTAAGAATAGGGTCTTGTTTACGAGAGTTTCTTAAAAGTTACTCCTAAAAATTATTTTTAATTTATTGGCTCTAAAAGTTCTTTTTAAAAGTAGCGTTGTTTATAAACTTGTAAAATTGGATCCAACTCACTCCATCCTAATTTAATTTAAAAAATATAATTTTTAGTATTAAATTTTTTTTTTCAACTCATTCAATGTCTAGCTTGAAGTTTTGAGACGGGGTATAAGTTGAGCCTATAATGGCTCGCACACTCCAACTCAATCCGCGCTTTAACTTACCTCCTCTAATATCTAACCCTAGACAGACAACTCATTTCTACTCTCTAATTTCTTCATGTTTGAATTAAGCCTTTATGTTTGCTTTATGTTAAGACTAATTTATATTTACTTTATGTTTGATGTTGAATGAACTACTTTGCTTCATGTTTGATGTTAGATTAAACTTTGAATTTCTATCTGTTTAAATGTTGGAGTTATTATTTTTATTTGATGATGAGCTTTGAATATTGGATTGAACTTTGAATCTTTGATTATTTGAATGTTGAAACCGACCACCCAAACCACCCCACACCGTCCCAACCCAACCCAAACATCATTAGGTTGTAAAATTTTTCTAACATCGTTGGGGCTAAATATGTACAACCCGCACCCTTTAAAATAGGAAAAAGAAAGCCTTACTACGCACCAACCCAACCCATGAACAACTATATTTAAAAGTATTTGAATAATCTGTTTAAAGTGCTTTAACTTTTCAGAAGTTCATATAAAGCAACAAAACGAGGTTTCTAAAAAAAAAAAAAAAAAAAAAACTTCCGAATAGATTTTAAAACTTGTATCATAGTTTCATTAATGCATTATAAACTTAATTTCAACATTTTTCTTTTTTAATAAAAGATTTAAAAATGATTTTGACTCATTAAGTTCTTTTATTCCAAACACTTACTCAAAAGTTATATTTTTTACTTCTCTTCCGACTAAAAACAAAAACAAAAACTCTGTCAAACGGCCCATAGTCGACCCAAATAGCTACGGCGCAAGCAGTTATTTTACAGCCGGAGAACCAGGTGGGCTCAAGTGGCCATGGGCCCATGGTCCATCCCAGTTTACTTCCAAAATGGGTCTCATACAATGGTATAAGGAGGCTAGCATGTTTTAGAAGGTTTTCCAGTAAATAACATATTTTTGAAACAATTTAAACAAATAGCATATTTACCTGGATTAAAATAACTGCATTTAAATATGTCATCCACTTGCAAACCAGATAGAAAAAATGTTATTTACTACAATTACAGTCGCAATCACCGTCAAATATCAAGGTAACTGCAACCTGGGTTGTCAGTAACTGTCACCAAGCTTAAAACAAATTGGCATTATGTAAAGAAAAAGCCACACCCACACCTCGTGGTGGTAAAGCTTATTATTATCTTGAAGACGGTTGGAAATAATGGCTGTCATAGTCTAAATGAAGTGAGATTGAATCTAACCTGGAACTTAAGAAGCTTCTCCTTGGGTTGTTGAGGAGTGAGGACTCGGAACTCAAATGGTGTACTGACGTTGTCTTGTTATCCTGTGCACGGGAAAGGAACGTCCAGGTTACTCCTACGCATCAACCGAATATCACTCTCTTGATTATTTTGTTATTGAAACAAAAATTCTTTGACCAAATTATTAGCACCGCAATCAGATAAACTTGGAGAAAAAATATTGCAGCGGAAAGGCAATAACATGGGATATAAATGCAAGATCTCACACATTTCGCATCATTTGTGGAGATATAGGGAGCATTTGCTGCTGACTCATGAGGCTTTGAGTAAGCTGACTGTGGAGGGAAAACAGTCGAATGAAACTCTCAATACAGCTTAAGACAATGGAATAAATCGTTCTCAAGATATGATCACCAATCAATGAGTGCCTCTGAGTTTTAGACAGAAAAAAATTGTTCCACTTGCCTCAGACACACATGAATCCATGAGATCGCTTTCCGGCAAGCGTTTGCCAACTGATTTTTGAGATAGAGATGAAGCTGCATGAGGGTTTTATTCAAGTGGTATCAGCAATCATTAATTGTTTTCCCCACATAACACTTTCTATTTGAGAATGAACGTATCATTTATTGTAAACTGCACAAGCAAATATGCAGTGAAATAAGCTTTTATAGCTAAATTCAACGAAACAAAAGCTGGAAGATAAAACCTGTACATTCCGTAGCACTAATGCCATGGTCCTCGTTTGAACATTTTCCCGTGCTGTTTTGTATAAAATGTTTACTCCTGGAATAATTATGGCACCATCATATTAACATTGAGGTATATAGCTACTATTGGAAACTTGATAGTGTCTTAATGCATTTGTTCACGATCTGCAATAGGAAGTTACACTGGCATTCCGTTTTATCAAATCTTCATCTCAAACAAAGCATAGCAACCATAAAACATTTTGTTCACCAGAATTTAGTGTGGATCAGTATATTTAAGGTATTGGGAGAATGCCGACCAACTGCATTTTCCGTGTGAATGTACACATGTGCAGTGAGAAAATCAAATATCTGACGTAGGACTCCTTAGTATTTTGGACCTATCAGTTGACAACTTTATGCTTCCAATCCAAGGCTGTGACTTTTACAAAACAACCAGGTTGGAGTTTCTGTCTAATTATTATGGGAGTTCTTTACTTTTCTCCTTTTCCCATTTAATTACTTCCAGTTTTGATAATATGTCAAAATACAAATTAAAATGTGAAAATTGTACTACAATATTATGAGTAAAATTCATCCATCCACTCATCCTACCTATCATGCTTTGTCAAATCCATGTTGTATCCTTCTTGGCATTCAAGTACTGAGGAGAATTTTGCTTTATCCTGGTATTGAAATAAAAGAAACAAATGTCTTTCTTACAAGACCATCGAGAAATTGCTAGTAAAATAATTGCTAGGCACATCAAAAGGTGCAAAAACATAAAATTAAAACCAAACCAAACATCACATTAGCGTATAACAAGTGTTATCCCAGCACCTAAAGCTACAACTTTGTAAAGCTCTATCAAACCATAAACTGTGCATTACTCCTTCCATCACTGGCAGGAGAAATATGGTTACATCCACAAACCAGTCTTTTGGATTCACTATTTCAACTATTGAACTCTTATAAAGAGGTTGAAAATTTTATTCTGTACATACATCCTACATCTGCGAAGTTAAGAAACTTATAGTACTGGAAGTGAAGGTCAAAACCATTTCTTACCTCTTCGTTTATATTTGCAAAGTTGTCCTGAATCTTCTTTATGATAATTCTAAAACTCCCAAGTTCCAAGTGCAACGCCTGATCAGCAAAAATTACAGTAGAGTTTGGAAAGTAATTTACACAGGAAAACAGAATTGAGTAATCAATATTTCGATGTACAGACCTCTTTCTCCAGAATTAGATTCTGTATGGCCATGTCTTTGGATGATAAAATTTTCTGAAGGTGGGGTGGTTAAGAAAAGAAGCCTAGATAAAATATACTTTCCATGACAAAGAGAAAATGAAAAATATGTATTGAGGGAATGTCTTAAGTCATTTTTAGAATCAATCGACTGTGAAGTAATAGGTACTGGCACGGATATGTCGTCTATCTGAGTTTGACAGGCGGTACTAATTGTTGCTGCCTCCAGCTGGGCTTCTAGCTCTGCAATTACTTCATCCTTTCTCTGAATTTGATCTTCATCATATTTCAGTTTCTGTTCCAGATCAGATATCTTTTCTGCATAAATTAGTTCACAATCAAATGAATCTTGAAAGGATAGCAAAACACTACTACCATCAAATAGAGCTAGATCATCAACTTTTGGTTCAACGATTTACTGATGTAGCATCCAAACAACAACAGTATTATTATTCTGAGTGGTAGAGCTGAAATTGATTGATCATAACAAATGAATCAAATGTTCAGAAAGTCCCAACTTGTATCAACCTTAAAAATGATCAACAAAAATCACTACACAGACGAAATAATTAATGAATTACAACTTGGTAAAGCCAAAAAAGAACTAGTAATCCAGTCAAGAATATCAATTACCAACAAATGCTTTCTCAAGTGCAGAGACTTTATCCAATTTGCTCTTCAAGTCAGCCACTGTACACAGCAAAGTTGAAAGTCGTTATGATTCAACAACTTGTATAAAACTATAATAACACAACTGGAATAAGAGTTCAAAAGCTACTTGCCTACGTTTTCCTTTTCGCTCATAAGCCTTTGCGCATTATCCACAACTTGCTTTACCGAAAATGCCTCCTTTTCTATCGAATCAAATAATGATAAATGAGATTTCAGCTTCTCAGATAGAAAACTGAGCTTTCTATCCCTGATATGAATTGATCGCTTCAAATCACTCGTAGATTCATCATAAGCATTCACGAAAAGTTCTTTTGACAGGACTAGATTCTGTATAGTTTCCTTCAACTCTTTTTGCTTGTTTTCGAGCAAAGCATTGTCATTCTGAAGGTAATTCACCTACATAACAATATGCATAAATTTAACTACGTTCACTTTGACCTCTAATGAGCCTTTTCACAAATAATTAGACGCTAATTTCACAGACTTTTCTTTCGAATTTTTGCCGCAGTTCATTGGAGGAAGATAATTCGGCCTGCAATTCATGTAACTTCCTGGCGTATTCTTCCTCTGTTTGCTTCTGTTTCTGCGTACAAAAACATCTCGCCATCAATTTCGTTTGAAAAACAAATTACGATCAAGAGAAATGAAAAAAGAGAATGGAAAGCGATCAAAAAAGCAAGACCTGAATCCTACAATGAAGTTGCTCTGTCACCGAGCGTTCTCTTTCCTGAAATGCTTCCACAAAGAAACGGTCATATAGATATATAT